GGCTGAAACTTTGTAGAGATATTCCTTGTATATATAGTGACTAGAGGTTTCAAATTCAGCCCCAGGTATGCGTGGTACCCGTGTAAGAGCGTATGAAAGTTTTAGGGGGAAAATTGCTAACTTGACAACCACGAAAGCTGGAAAGTTGAAATTTTACCGGAACATTCCCTGCCCAAGTACAACTTAAATATTTCAGATCCAGCCCTCAGGTATGCGTGGTACTCACGTAAGAGCACATGAAAGTTTTAGGGGGAAAATTGCTAATTCGAATACCAGAAAAGCTGGAAGGCTGAAATTTTCAAGGGACTTAAATTTATCAAATTTAGCCCCCAATCATTCGTGGTTCTCACGTATGGTCCCGTGAAATTTTTTGGCGCGAAAATGGCTAACTCGGGAACCAGGAAAGCTGGGCGGCTGATCAGGGAATGTCCCAAGAACAAGTACGACATACACCTATCAAATTCAATCCCCAGTCACACGTGGTTTTCAAGTACGGCCTCGTGAAACTTCTTTGGCGGGTAAATGACTAACTCGGGAACCAGAAAAGCTGGGAGGCCGAAATTTTACGATGTTCTCAGCCTGCATACAACTTAAAAATTCCAAACCCAGCTCCCAGGTATGCTCCTAGGTTACATGCGGCCCTGTGAAAGTTTGGCGGGAAAATTGCTAACTCGATAACTAGAAAAGTTGGGAGACTCAGTTTTTAGGAGAATATTCCCCCGTCCAAACTAAACTTAAATCTTCAAATTCAGTCTTCATTCACGCGTGATTCTCGTGTACGAGCAATTAAATTTCTGGCGGGAAAATTACTCATTGACCAGTTGGGTTATTTTCAAAAAACACCGTTAAACGGAAATAGTTTATTTCTTTTTATGCTAAATTTACGATGATTTTCGGCATTAAGCACACAAGGTAGGTACGAAGAAACAACCGTTCATGCAATCAACCTAATTCAAGTTTTGTGCAAAAACGCATGATCACACCGGTTCGCCTGGTGCGTTCCAGCCTGGGTTTAGTCCTGAGCCTGTTTCTACCTCTGTGCTAGTTACCAGATCCAGTGCTGAACTTGCTTTTATTTTAAAATTGGACAGTGATGAGTGCTCTTTTGCTACAGAACCAGTGCCAGTAGATGAGTCAAGTGTCGGAGCATTTTACGTTGTAGGGTTGTCCAGTGAATCTGGTGCTGGACATGCTCCTTTTTCAGAATTAGCAAGTGAGGACGGTGCTGAATTCTTATGATTGTTAAGTGGATTCGATGCTGAATTTGCTTCTGCATGGTTAGTGATTGGAACCGGTGCTGAAATTACTTCTGCTCCAAAATGAGATAGTGAACTTTGTGCTGGCCATGCTGTTGGTTCGAGGTTAGTACATGATCTTGATGCTTCAGGCAGCTCGCCTCGTTGTTGTGCCGTTGCTGTTGCCTGCGCCTCTCGATTCACTTTATCTGCTGTTAGCCTAAAATTAACACTGAACCCTTGATGCTTCATGCCGCATGCTGTCAGTTTTAAATCAAAAACCATTAATACTGTTAATTTAAAACAAAAAAAAAATAGGCAGTGACAGCGGCTTTCGTGTATCGTGCATTAATTTTTTCTAATAAACCGATCTGTTCGAATAGAAATCGGCACGACAGTGAAGAGAGCATGCATTTTTGAACACATTCAGCATTAAAACGTTACAACTCCACACACATATTCACGCAGTTTGATGCCACTCAGAGGCATTAGAAAACAGCCAAAGTGGCAGCACTATGTCAAAAACAGTCATGCTTCAACAGACCTTGATCCTTCGGAGTGCCATTTCCGAAACAAGCTGGAAACAGTTGTGACTGCTTTGCATGCTCCACTACTGATTTATATCATAACGTCGTACAAGAATTTGTCTTCTGCTGCTATCAGGCTGAGCTTGGGAGTAAGTCCCAGTTGCTACTATTTTAAGCTCGCCCTCTCCAGATGCATATCCACTGTGAACTAATCCGGGTAAATATCGCTCAGCAAGTCTTAGCGGCATGAAGACAGTAACAATAAAGCAATGAAAAACAAAAAAAAATTAATCGTAGGTGACCGCGAAATTAGCACAGTTTGGCAGGTAGGAGACTACACAATAACTAGGAGTAGAATTGTTTTTTTGAAAATGACCATTTAGATTTCGCAGTCTTTGTAAAAGTTATTTTCGTCAAGCTAACGGTGTTACCCTTGTGTATAACTGTACTGTTGATCTTCCTGAGAAATAACAATAATATACGTCAAATGCTAAACCCAGGCTGAAACGCACCAGGCAGGCCCGTGCGATCATGCGTTTTTGCACAGGACTTGAAGT